CCCCCCCTAGCCCAAAAAATCAACTGATCGTTCGATTAAAAAAAATTTACAACCATTTCCCGAACAAAAAAAAATAAATTAAATTAATCTAATCTCCCGAAAAAAAAATAAACTTGGTGGAATGAGAGTATGAGTATCAAAAAATGGCAATCAGAGATATAATACTAAAGCCCTAGATATAATACTCCCTTATTGTAATATTACATTTTTTTTAAAGAAATTATATACAAAATATACTTATAATAGAATTTCATAAAATAATCAAGTCTTGTTTTGAAGATGTATAAAGAAAGATATTTGATAGATGTCGTATATAACATATTGATAATGTACAGCACCAACTAAAAAATTTACTAATTTTTCTTATTTGCGGGCGGGAATGTACTTTCCGCCCTAGGGCGGGAGGTTCCACTTTCCGCCCGTAAAACAGGCACTGAAAGTACTTTCAGCCCTCACTTTCCGCCCGAAAGGAGGAAATAGTAGTTTTCCTACGAGTTTGAAAAGTCTCTGTTTGCGAACCGAGAGGTTTGCGGCCCAAGCCGAAGGCGAGGGACGTAACGAGGTTCGTAAAGGAGACTTTTCGAACGAGTATCGGAAAACTGCTTTTTCGCCCGAGGAAGTAACAGCCTCCCAAAACCACCCGAGGGCGAAAAAAATGTTTATCCAATAGTAAATAAAGATAAAGACTTTTTTCATGTTTGTACGTTTTTCGGAGAAGTATCTAATTTTTTAAAAAAGGAACTAAAATCTTATGGATTACATATTGCTTTTAGAACACAGAAAAGCTTACAAAAATTAATAAAAAATAATAGAAGTGAAACACTGAAGCCTCAGAAGTCAGGGGTATATAGTTTGCAATGTGGGTCTTGTGATAAAGTGTACATAGGACAAACTGGTAGGTCTTTTGATAAACGTTTGAAAGAACATAGGAAGGCTTTTGTCGGTGGTACAGAGAAATAAAATTATGCATCTCATCTGTTAGAATTTTATCATGAGTTTAATCATGATTTTAAAGTTTTGCATGTAGCCTCTAAAATAACGTTCGTAAATAGCTTTAATAGGTGACGTTGTACTGATGTGTATGAATACAATATGTTGCAGAACCGAATAGAGTTTAGTTTATAAACCTCTGTGTCTGAGGAAGGTACAGTGTACCGAAACAATTTTAACACTTATATATGACAATAAATTGTCAAGATTTATTTATAAACTCGTTTTTCATTTGATTTTAATATGGAATTGAATCTTCATCAAGTAACGACCGAAAGTATTAATTATTACTATGTCAGTTGTACGTCCAGCATACTTACAAACTTGTTCCACTAGTTTTCAGAAAATTCACTTTCCTCATTGTTTCCACCATGAGAATGAATAATTGAATAGATTATGCTAACACCAAAGTGAATTCTGTCGAAAAAAGAGAAAAAAAGTGGCAAAAATATCCGGCGGTCCTGTTTGTTTTTCAAACTCTATTTGATTGAGACTTTTCCGTTCGGGTCCACAGTTGTATACGTTTTGCATCGCTCATATTCCACCGTCCGACGGGATATCGAGCAGACCTCAATATATGTATTTATGACGAGATTATGCACGACGGCCCGATTTCGTTTATCAGTTTATTCACGTGACGGGCTGTAATCTCCGTGAAACGCAATCCAACTTTATATAAGTGCATCATGTTATCGTTGATCTGTTCTGAATAATGGCTTAATCAAATTTTAGTCCGTTGTCAAGTCCATCCTTCCACTTTGGAGCATCGAACTAGGAATTGGCTTGCGAACACCATCGTACATTCCGATTAGGAAATCCGAAAAAGTGTTATAGCAATTGGACATCCATTTTCTAAAAATGTCCTGATGGCGTTGTCCAGATTTCCACGCGGCGTCCACAAAAATTGATTGAAATTCGGAGCAGAAAATAGATAAAACCATACGACCAGCGTATGTGACCAAAATTTTTTATTTTGTGATTATTATTGTTATTTTTTTTTTGGTAACAGCTATTGCCAGCGTAATGGACTCGTCGGTGGGTAAAGTCGTCGAGGCTCTTGAGAAGAAAAATATGCTGCGAGACAGTATTATCGTCTTCACTACTGACAACGGCGGTCCCGCCGCAGGTTTCAACTTGAACGCCGCTTCCAATTGGCCTCTCAGGGGAGTTAAGGACACTTTGTTTGAAGGTGAGTCGAGGGAGACTTTTTTTCGCTCGTTTCTATTCTTTCGCGTGCCGGGGGTTTTTCTCGTCGAGTGGCCGTGAAAAAAAAAAGTCTATTGAAATTGCCCGCGACGCCATTGACGAGGGCACACGTGGAACGTGCTTAAAAATTGTGCAACTGGAAATTGTTATTTTTGTTGCACTGATAAAATGCTTACGACGACTAGAATGCTCGAAAGTTTGTACTATGAGTACGAAAAAATACGTATTCTTTTTAACGATGTGACTTATATGAAAACAGTACTTTTTTATTTAGTGCAGCTTGTGAGTCACTTTTATAACAGTAAAATTGATTATCATATCACGATGACTTTTACAATGAAACGGAGCTTATTTTCATGAAATAAGATACATTGATCAGGCATATATTTGGATGTTTTGTGAACAAGCGACGCGTGCAGTATAAACTCGTGTGGTGCAGTGCACAATTGGTGCATACACGCACACTTGGGCACAGATACTTTTGAAATTTTTTAGTAATGTTTATTTTTCTTGAATTTGGAATACGTAATTTATGTTGAAAAATTTTTTTTCTCCAATTAGTCCGTATGACACAGTACTCAACAAAACTATTTCTGGTGAGAATAGTGTATTTCAATTTGAAAGAAAAACAAGTTAGATGGAAAAAAAACAGTTACAGTAGTTGAAAAAGTACTTTAATATTTGATTACTTTGTAAAAAAATTTTATTCGGAAGTTGACAGAGAGAACAATATTTTTTAATTTTTTATTGTTAATAGTGGTAAATAAATAATTATTTCAGTAACAAGAATGAGCGTCAATAAAAAAAGTTGTTTTCAAGTGTTTAAAAATCCGTACAATAATTGTGTCCCAGTCTGCAAACGCGAAGGAAAATGTTGACGTAAATTTTGTAGTAGAATCGATGATAAATATCATCGTTGATCATCATTTTATTGTTTGCACTCGGTAAACTTTACCATCACGATAATTTTTAAACTTAGCTACAGTTTTTGCTGTTACTTTTCTCCTCACCGTAATAGTGGATGACATTGGAGTTTGATGATTGGAATATACTTATCGTCCGTCTTGTTGCCTAGTATTTCTTTACTTTAAAATCAATCTCAGTCTACCGCCCGTATAATTTGTCACAACTCAAATTACCGCAACTTCACCGCAACAGTTCTTATAACGGAAATAAGAATCATACTTTATGAAATTTTTTCCATTTATCGGTCATTTGACTATAAAAATTACTTAAACTTTTTTCTCTTTCTATGACTTATTTTTGTGGTAAGGAAGATCGCATTTGATACTAGGTAATATGATTATGGTGGTTTTTTCATGACTCCCGAGTCAATTGTGCGACTATCAAATTGTCGTATGTTTAAAATTATACAAGCCTTATTGTGTCAATTTTCACTTACTATGTTCGGTACATAAAAAATGAAGCTACAACTTTCAGTATTGTGCTGTCACTTTACAATAAATTCCCTACAGTATTATTTGATTCCTTTTACAATCATCTCCTAAAAGAACCACCTCAACTTTAGAAAATAAGTCAAATCTTGATTAAAGTAACAGTATTAAATTTTTTTCGAAACCAATTCAATTCTCGTATACCGAACCAATTCCGCGATAAAACGACACGTATAACTTTCTCCTTCTTGGAAAAAATTCGTTGAGGCGAAGGATTTCCTTCGTAATTTTATTTCCTGCCGAACGCACGTATCCACTTGACACGTATACTCCAGCATATACGCATGCAACGAAGCAAACACTCGCTGTTATTGAGCTTGACGGTATGATCGAACGATTTCTTGCTGCAATCGACTTCCTCGCAAAAGGTACGGTAATCGGCTTACGCGCCGTCGCAGGTGGGGTCCGCGGCGCCGGATTGATCTGGTCCACGCGCCTATCCCGACCGGGACGCGTGTCAAACCGGATGTTCCACATTGTGGACTGGCTGCCAACGCTCCTGCGGGCCTCCTCCGCGACCAGCCAGGCCAAGGACATCGATGGTCTGGACTCGTGGGAGGCGCTCGCGAGGGACCAGGAGTCGCTCCGTAGGGTCACCCTCCACAACATCGACGATCTGAGAGGAGCAGCTGCCGTAGCTGTCGACGATTGGAAGTTAATCAAAGGTATGTATTCCGTATATGTGACAACGACCACAACAAGCCGTTAATATTCGTTGAAGCGAATTTCCCATATTCCACTTATCCATGCATCCGCTCGGCAAGCGAGATTTGGATTTTTCGTTGGGATAACAGATCCACAAGGATTCGTGCGCTGCGTTATTTATTTGCGTTCGATAAAAATAGTGAGCGCTTATTCCGAGCGGCCAATGTGCTATTTGTTGCAATGATAATGGATGTTTGCGCTGCTTCAGTCGAGGTCGGCTTGTTGGTCGATGGTAATTGGAGATATCTTTTTTTAACGAAAGGGATCCGTTGGATTTCAGTTACGCATTAATTTGTTACTTAAATTTATACCCATTGCTACGTGCAAAGTAATTACCAATATGTAATATTTCGAGCTTAACGATGATGGATATTATCGCGTTTCCTTTTCATCCCTTTTGCCGATTTACGGAGTGTCTTAAGCCTCTTATCGTTCGATCGATCGAGCGAGCATTGGTTATATTGCAATTTGCTTTGTATTTTAAGGTAATGGAGAAAAAAAAAAAGAGAGAAATGCAATCACAGCACTGTGCACGCTACGTGACACGCATGCACTATAGACGCGGTGTTTAGAGCCCTATACTGCAAGAAAGGTTCGGGTTTAACCGAGTGCATACCTTGAGCTGAAATCCATGCCTTAATTCTACCCTCCCGTGTTGCGTTTCGCCCTCCGAGAGCTCAGCTGTATACCTGTACCTACTTTGCGCACACCATCACTTTGTTTGAGTTTCTACGACGCTGCGTTTTGTAAATTAGGATTATTTGTTCGCAAGGGTATGGTTTGCACTGCAATTTCAGCTCGTTTCCAACTAGTTATCAGATCGTACGGTTTCTTGTCCTGGATTTGTTACACTCTTGTTGATACCTTTGTTGCCAACTTCGTACATTTATGACGAATAACCAAAGGTACGAGTGCTTGGATATATATCTAACGGGTGTCTTGATTAGGAGATTTTCAGTACAAGAGCCAAAGTGGCTCAAACTTTCGTCCTTTCTTTAGTTTATCGAGTTTCTTATGTTGCCTCATTTGTTTATTCATGCGAATGAACACTCTCTTTTTCGTTTCTTATAAGGGTACGTGGTAAGAAATGATCTATCCAGACTATAAAAAAAAACATACGATTTAATGTGATACTTTTGTTTGCTATGCCTTAGGGTGCAACGTCAGACCTGTGCCATATAATGGAAAGTACAATGTTTAGATTAACAATAACAATAAATTAACCCTCCCTTACAACTTATTACTAGAGTATGGAATTTCTTAGAGCATGGGAATAATTTTTACGAATCAATCCACTGTAGATGTATTGAATTTGATGAACTTATTTTAATGAAGATTCACTGTTTTTAATCAAAAGGGATAACCAAGTGGTTTATTTTGCTTTTTTTTTTTATCATGTACTCAAAGGCAAACTTAATATCAGTGAAACTCAAGATCATTTGCACTTTTTAAGAGCATTATTCATTATCGTATAAAATTTGGTGTTGATACTTTAACGACATTATAAATGACAGTTTGAAAAATTCTTGTTCAAAAAAATTTTATTTTCATTTCGGTGAAAAATTTTTTTAAGTTATCCTTGATATATGAACTCATAATTTTGTACGTATAATAATGCATAACGCTGTTATAAGAGCATTATATCTTAGATTTTGCTGATTTTCAATCCATCTTTGAATCAACAATAAAAAAACGAAGAGTATCAGGTGACCTTCTTGAAGAGGTTGACTACCTTGAGCAATTGACAGTCAGTTTTTAACTAAAATTTGCGCAGAGCTTCAAAAATGAATTAAAAAAATTTATGCAAAGTCTTAACAACTCTGGGTGCTGATGAACGAGAAATTAATGAAACAAATTTAGTGAATTTTACATGCATCCTTATGGGAGATAGTTAAAAGTGACTCTTATAATAAAAAATGTTAATACAATTAACAGTCAGATTTGGACAAAACTGTAGTCAACAATAAATTAACATCTGCCTTTTTATTATGAAAAATAATCACGTCGATTAGGTCCTTGTAAAAATAGTTATTAATGAATAACCTGGAGTGTAAATACTACTCAATATTAAATTACAGGACATGCGCACGCATTTCTAACCAAGCCAGAAAATTTTGCACGGGTTTGGTTATTTTCTTCTTGACGAAAACCATCAAATTTGTGATTTCTTCCCTATCTTGCTTTTCTCTTTTTTGCAGGTTATGTTGTCATGTAATTTTTCTGAAAAAATGTATAACTTTATAGTATCATTGATCGGTTGGCTGTTTCTTCTCTGATTTAAACGGGATGTGTGCTGAAATTGCTTATACGTTAACACTTGGTGGTATCAGTCAATACACGGATTTCCCCCTGTCCCATTCCATTCTTTTTAAAGGGATACTATACTCAAATATTATTTCATTTAATTAAATTTTTTATATTTGTGCATTTATTTATTTGTTTTTATTTATTTTTTCTTCCTTTTTATTTTTGATATCATTGTTTTTTTAAAATTTTTTTGCTAATGGTTATTGTCATTGGAATTGACTTTCTGTTGAGCAGGGAAATATACTTCCGCATAAATAAGGTTTTAATAAATTATATGTATGTCAAAAATTCGTGGTGTGTGAAAATAACCAAGCTATCAAAATAATTTAGCACTGAGTAGATTAAATAAGTAAGTTTATTTCAATTAATTCAATTCAATCCTTCTTCCTCTCCCATTTCCGAGTGTCGAGTATTGCAAAAGAAAGGATGTATGACACTATTTATAGTATATTTGTTGAAAAAGATTGGCATAAAATCGCGACAATGACTTTTACAAAATAGAGTTTAGAAATTGGCAAGGCTTTAGTGATCGTATTCCATAGACACTCTCTAAATTTAAAATAGTGATAAGGATACATTTTTTTCAAAACAGTGCGTATACACTGAAAAATAGTCAATATAAATATATACACACTATTTTAACAGTGAAATGAGCGATTACACTATTTCGAAGTTGTATACTTATAACTTATTTGAACCACTGAATATTCACTGTGAAATAGTGGATTTTACTGCGAAATAGTGAATATTTACTATTTCTACAAGTTAACGTTTTAATATTTAAATTAGTTGGTTTTGTTATTGTTGGCATCACTTGAAATGGGATGTACAGTTCCCTTTATTCGAGTTAAGATCGTACATTGGATTACTGATACACATTAAGAGTTAAAATTTATATAACTGTTAGGCGCGAATAAACAATCCTTAATGTTCACTTTCGCAAATAGTAAAATTTTCACTATTTCAAATTTAGAGAGCAAAGAAAAGGGAGAGATGGGCTCATCAATGATACGTGAAAACAATCAGATGTGTTTTTCATAATAAAAGCAAGTAAGACTTGTTGATATGGATCGACTGTTAAGTTCTGTTTGAGAGATTACTTCATTTAGGAGGAACCGACGATTTTTCTTTCTGGATTTGATCTGCCAACAGAACTGGGGCCAAGGGTGGTGAATATTTGAGCAGCGAGTATACGTCGTACTCCCTCCCCAAGTCGCATTTACGATTTGTATTCGTCCGCCGCTGGAAATTGAACGTTTAAATACTGAATACGATTACTTATTTGAAAAGCGGCACCACGCTTTCAAGCCTGAAAATGGGGAAAAAGAGTGGTAGGGAGGGTGGGGCACAATCGTCCGTGTGTGGGTGGGTTGGCCACCCTAATTTTCTTCAAGTAAAAGAAAGTTTTTGGTATTACAATGGTTGGCCAAGCGTTTTTCTTTGCTCTCCCTGATTTCGCCAATAAAATTAATAGAAACAAAATAGGCAGAGACTTCACCCTCAGCACATTAATTTTGACGATAAAGAAAACGGTTCGCTGAAAAAATCAGCTTTTAATGTGTAGAAGAAAAGTTAGTTTTAAAAAAGTAAAAAAAAAAAAAATACAACTTTTGAATAACGTATTGATGTTGGAGTGGTGATAGTGTGCCTAGTTTTTCTCAACTTTTTACGGGGTCTGGAGAAATAATTTTTTCTGGGATTTGAAATCAATAAAAATAAACTTTATTACTTATGTGAAAACGTAAGAATTCGCTTGTATTGTTTATTTTTGTTTATAGATCCTATTTATGGATTGTTAAATAAATTTTAAACCTCCTTTGTTTTCTGTTTGTCATTGCAAAGACGATATTCCACATTTTACAATGGTTACACGCTTCGCACAATACAAATACGACTGCAGAAGGTTCATTGAGTTTAAAAATAGAAAGACAAATATTCAACGCACGAGAATAATGCCTTCAACAGTTTGGATTGTGACGTCGAGTAGATTACATCCAAAAATAAAGCGTGTGCCAACCCTTGGAATTTCACTCTGGGCAGTGTGAGAGAATTTATTATTACGAAAAAGGGGAGATCACCGAGTGCGAGGAAAGCTGATCTGGATTTGACTTGGAAAAATTTCTCCCTAAGAACATACATCCAATGGAGTTCTCTCTGCATGATAAGCTTTCTGTTTCGGGGTGAGAGGTTTCATAAATAAATAGTTATTCTTTTGCTAAAATATTTATTTTCCAGATGATCTATCACGTTTCATTACTATCTTATATTTCTTATACTACTTTTACAATCGTATTATAGAGATACCTGTAATTGAGCTTAGAATATTCAAATCAAAATCCTGGCAAAACGTGTTTGATTAATTAATATCCAGAATCGTTTTCACTTCAGTAGGATGACCATGCATTTTCGTACGTTTATCTTGAGGGTGACAAAATAACGTTATTAAAACTTGTGTGGTAAATCATAAATGACGTTCCTTACACTGCATTACCTTATACATTTGATTTCTGAATAGTATGTAACCTATATGTTTAAAAACATAATACTATCTAATATTGGATGAATTGGGTTCTACAAGTTTATTGATGATTCGATCAAAAACATGACGTATTATGATGATGGGTCGCTTGGTGATCAAAGTTTCGAAGTAGATTATTCTACGGAACGAAATTACCAAAATGGTGTAATTGTTATGTCAAAGCTTATTTTTGAAGTCCATTGCGAATTTATAGGAACATCAAAGATATAATAACTAAGCTTGAGATATGTGTGGAACACAATTTTTCCATCATGCCATTAGAAAACCAGTCCTTCCAACCTTGTGGGTACGAAAAGGTAGCATATTTACGGAAGCTCCTATCCGCCATTTATAGGCAAGCTGCTTGCTTTTCTTAAAATAGGCAATGCAAACACTTGCGTTGCCCAAAAAGCAAAATGAAAACAAAGCGTCATAACCTGTTTTCGGATCTTTCAGCCAATATTCTTACAATATTTTTTAATTTTGAGAGTATATACATAAATTTTAGTAAACAGGTAACTATTATGATCGTCCATTTATCATTGAAAAAGTAAACTGTGGTTCTAACTACGCAAGTAGTTGCATTGCCTATTTTGAGGAAAGCAAGCAGTTTGCCTATAGATGGCGGATGGGAGCTTCCGTACATATTATATTGTGACGGCTTAAATTTCTAGTCAACAGCCTTCTATCGTGAAAATTCAAATTTTCTAGTTTGCACGAGAAAGTCAGTGTTCAGTATACCCCGAGGCAGACTCGTGCTGTCCTCGTGCTAGGGAGCTCATTAAACGTATGGGGAATTATAGCTGTAGTAGAATTTATATGGTAATTGAATGGGCTGATGCTTACAATAGTAATCCTGCCCAACTGCCACTCAACGATAGGAATGAAGTTTTGGGTAGGTAGGTACAGCGCATCAAAAATAATTGACACACGTGTGGAGTGAAAATTATCCTGGAAGCTTATCCCTTTGGGGAGAATTTCGTAAATATGTTTCCTTTGACTAATTGACATCTCACGTCAAAGCAAAGTATACCCTCTGTATTAAAAAAAAAGTTCAAGTGTTCACGTACCTTTCTGGAAAATTTCTGTAGGGGTGGTGGTTCCTATTTTTCTTTTAAACATGAAATCGCATTTTTGTTTTTAATTACCTTTTTGCTGTAGCAAAACTTTCCAACGCTACTTTGATCCAATATGAAAAATTACGTGCATCACACACTTTATAAGGAGACGAAGCTGACGTGCTTTGATGTTTTCCTTAAACTACTGGCAGGTTACTCGTATCACAAGAAAAATTACTCGTTTTTTCGCTTACTTTCTCTAAACTTACTAATATTTTTCCCTCAACTCAACGCTTCCTGCTCCCCAATAATATATACAGCTACCTAGGCGAAGAGTGAGAGTAAGTACTCTTCATTTCCTCGTTGCTCTCGAGGGAATTTTACCTGCAAACAGGCTGTCTTATACCCTCGAGTTTTTCTCTGAGAAAAAAAATAACGTCATGAATTCTTGAGCGTAGGTAAGTAAACGATGAAAGGAGCAAAGGTAAACAAATTTTGGAATACCCCTTGGATGTGGCCTGAAAGGATAACCAAATAAGTCACGTACTCTGTTTATCAGTCATTGGTACGATTTCTTCTCTCTCTCGTTCAAACGAGCTAATATCTAGAGAGTGGCCTATCCTTCCCCTTTTTCAACAACTAATGTAGGTAACCATATACAACAATACACAAAGTAGATGTCTAACAAATAACTATTAATTATTATTCGTTGAATCAGTATAGCCATGATTTATAGTAAGTGTAAGCTTTAATTTGAAAAGTTAAACACCATCATTTAACACGGTCGATGGTTCAATCAATAATAATCGATTATTACCATTGGCACTAGCTGATGTTACTGTTTTCACCACTGTATTATTGTTGCTATGACCATTATTTTTATTGTCATGATTACATTGCTGTCATTTAATTGTTTTCTCCAGTGAGGTTAAATTTCACTTATTCGATCAAGTAAACAATCATGAAATCGAGCAAGTCTTATCGCTCTTTTTTTAAGTTAGCTTGGTCAAATGAGAGGATACGTCTAACATTATTGTACGTTAACTGAATTCTCAATTAATTTTGGCACTCAATAGTTAAGAATTCAATATGTCAAGGGGAACGGAATGACACGAGTAATTTCATCTCGTTTCCTTGATTTCTCTGACGCGTGTAGAAGAAAAGCGAGCTGGGTGTAAAAAAGGACGACTCACGAGTACCTGAACTAGAGCAAGTCTAGAAAATGGGATCACAGCCCATTGTCTTTTTCCAAGGGTATTTATTTCCTTGGCACACTTTTCTGCGTCATCCCGAGCCAGCAAGTGATTTTTCAGGATAAAAAGAACCAAAAATCAGTTACATTTTGCACGGTGGACTTGGTAGTACAGAATCCCACTTCTGCTATACCTCACGATCTACTACGAGACCATCCGTGTCTAGTTTCTCAGTGGAGTAATTAACGGTCAAGTATAAGTAATAGAGAGTCCGCCTCTGTTCCACTCGACTAGAAGATCTTTTTCCTGTTGGTACCTTTAGCAGATCAAACTCGTCACCTCGGGATCCTGTTGGCTCGTCCTACGTGTCAGCTAAATCACGGAAAAACGAGTGAAAGTTTTCGTACGATACAAATTTTTAATTTTTGCGCCTCGGCACAAGTATCTTCATACTTGGAACTACATCACGGAAGACCCCCCTCCCCCTGTTTTTTATAATTTTACGTGCCGGTATATAATTATTGTGACACATTTTCCAGGCCTGTAGAAAATATCTACGAATACACAAATTTATAACGCTTTTAAAATTACTTCAATCATCACTCATGCTTTTTAAATAACCTTCTATGAATCTTGATTTGAAAATCGTTACTAGTACTCACAAAAGCCATAAAAATAATTGAAGTACTTTAAACATCATTCTAATATTAAATTGTTGTAGACGCACTTCACATAACTATCCTTTAAGAAGATTAAAGAGTTAGATACAGAAAAAAGTACACACAGGTACTGTACTGTGGAATTTGGTATATGAAAGGCGCTTTTAAGACGGTTCGATGTGTGCATCCGAATTTGCATATGCTAGTTCTGGGACAAGAGCTTATTTAATCCTAGTATATGCAAAGTGCCTTACTCCACGTATGTCACGCAGTAAAATGTTTTAACGCTCTTGCGAGTTCGCTGAATACTATTTTTTTTTTTCTGCAACAAACTAAAAGCTCGTTGTTATTTGTTCGGATTATCATTGTGTTATTTGCATCAACGTGTTATCAACACTTGTTAACAATGAAATAATTCATAATATTCAGCATCATGTATTATACTTAGTGCGTCTCATGATGTACGACTACATAACATACTTTACTTTTCCAAACATCTTGATTAATCCTATGAAGAAGTTCTTGGTACTTTAATTTGCGTAAAATGTTTTACATAAATTTTTTAGTTAATTAATCGAACCAATTTTTTATTGGCAAAAAATAACTATTAATCATTTTACGCAAAAATTACATACAGTAGGCGATAGTGTTATTTCGTGTTGAGCATTCGTGCAAAATTATTACTTTGTGCATTAACAATACTTTACAAGCGGTGTTTGATACGAGGAAATTATAAGTGGGCAAAAAAGCAGATAAATTACGTACTTTCTGAGTCACAAAAGTTAAAACAGTGTTACTAAATTGCATGGTAACATTGTAAACTTATTTAAATATTGAAATAAACAAGCTCCATGATTCTTCTTCTATCAGATTTTTGAAAAAATCTCATTTCTGTGTTGATTAATCATGAATAATAATAATTAAATTATGCACTAAACAGGTAAGGATTTAAATCTTTTCACAAAAGTTATGAGTTTTTTTTTAACTTTATGTGAGTGATTATTTATTAATTGCTCTGTGCATCAAAATGTAGTTTTGCGAACCGTACGAAAATCAGACAATTTATACATGCCACCTACAGGCTCGAGAGGTATAAAAGTGTGTAAAAGTGTGTAAATCATTATCCAACGATCCCATATAAAAAAAAAAATGTTGTTACATACTTATGTATACTAAAAATTGTACGTTAAGTCATTAGAACAACAGTGAAATACAGAACATTTATTTGCCGTACTATACCACGACCAAATATTTTCACTTTTAGTAATCACAAACACAAAAAAATTAGAAATGAACCATTTTACAGTACACACCAATGCAATAAAACCAAATGTTTTTGGTAAAAAATATTTCCTCGTGCACCACACATGATAGTGGAAGGGAAAAAAAAAACTTTTTTGTACGAAAGAAAAAGTACTCTATAGTGACAAAAATCAATGAGTCCAATGACAACAAAGCGACTACTTTCAGGCACAACTTACGGAGGCAAGTGGGACCAGTGGTACGGGCCCTCGGGCCGCGAGTACCCGTACGACGTGGCCAGCGTGATCGAAGGCTGTCCCGCGGCCAAGGCGCTGAAGCGACTTGGCATGGACTTGAGTCGTTCAAAAGTACTGGAGCTGAGGGCAAGCGCCACGCTCGAGTGTGGCCTAGTTCAGACCGCCGACGTCACGGAGAGCGAGCCCTGCAACCCTCTCAAGTCACCTTGTCTGTTCAATATACGTCAGGACCCGTGCGAGAGGCACAATTTGGCCAGTCAGTGAGTATATGCTCGTATACGTGCAGGGTTGGATGAGGGTGGTTGAGGGGAAAAAAAATCGTGCTGGCGTGACTGGTTGGTGCGTCGACTTTGGGAGTGAGTTAGGGTAAATATGTGGGATCCTTCGATGACGATTTGTTTTTTTTTTTTTTTCACATCTACTGGTCTGACTGTGTTTACGTTGATTAGCTTCCCTGCAACTTCCTTTCGGAGCTCTGTATTGTATCGTCACTTGTTATTTTGTTTCGATTAGGGCTAACTTGTTTTGAAGGAAATGAGTTGTATTTGATGACTCATTGCCGAAGATACTTTTTTTTTCAACATTAAAGGGCATTTAGTTGCTGTTTATGGTAAAGAAGTTGTTGTTGCAATGGTTAATCGAAAGTGGAAAGAACGTTATATGTACTTTGGAACAAAACCATCGTTGTTTTTCAAGCAGAGCTACACTAAGAGCAAAAATTTTTTATTTTTTATTTTATGCATTGATAGCTATAGAAATACTGAAGACGTATGCTTTATACTGTAATTTTACATCTGAGAGAAGAAGGGTATAGAAGAATACATACCCCTGCAAACAATTAAAAACGGTTTTAAAAGTCTTATACGTTAAAACACCATAACCATCGAAAATCCTGCACACGATTTTTCGTTATTTCACAATCCGAAAATTACCAACTCCTGTGTGACTGTCGTAGAAAAATTAGGTTTTATTTGACAATTGACTGTCATGGCTAACATATAAACATATTGAGTTGTAGTAATTTTTTATAGTCAATGATTTCTCCAATAGGATACTGAATTTTTTACGTCTAGATATTTATATAGCATGATTATGTTTTTCTGGACCATTAAAATTAGTTACACTTTGGGCGCAAAGTACTACTACCTATAAGGAAAAAAAGTCCTTTGTCCTCCTGATGGGGCAGTAATGATTAAAGGGCGCAAATCTTTTGGGCTTATGGTGTGAAATGTTCCATTAACGTACTTATTCGATCAAGCTAGTTTAACGATTTTCTTAATCATTAAAAGTAATTGATGAACAATGGATATTAATGTTGACATGGTTGATACATATATATGTATACACATTTATTTCAAAAAATTAACAACTTACGTGGGCTTGTTGTAAGTTGTGCCATGATATAAATAATCTTGTCTGACACGATTTAAAGTTAGCAAGTATCGCACGAGCAAAAAAAAAGTGATATGGTCAGGGGTGAAAAAAAAGTATTTTTAAGGATGATATTAACGGAGCATCACTGTTTTTACCTTATTTCTAAAAATACTAGACTATATAGGTCAAGAGTAATACTTTCTAACAGCACAAAAATCGTACAATACTCTCCCTCATATATCATGCAAAATTTAAAGCTCTTTTTTAATGGTTTCATTCAAATAACATTAGTATACAGTGTTTTTTTTTAAATATGTCTCGCTTGTCTCAAGTTCATCCTATTGAGCATCACTATCTTTACATAAACAAAAAAAATCAGATAGAATAAGAGTATGAAAAATTTATACTTTACATTATCATGTAAAACTAAAACTTTAAAATCAAAAAACTATAACTATTATAATAACCATCTGCTATTATAATATACAATGGATAACTTGGTAACTTAAAAAAAAAAAAAAAAAATTTCCTTTGGTAAAAAAGAAAATATATATATTTTTGTACCACAAATTTTTGCTACAAACATTTAGTGTAAAAAGCTATGAGCAGTTAAACCGCATTGTCAAAATGCTTCGAGCTGAGCAAATTCATCTTCATTACCAGAGAACTAAGCACTGCATATCAAATCTTGTATTTACACTTCAGCCTCACTCTTTCTCGTGGATCTACTGTAGGAGTCTTATTTGAATACCTACAATGAACGCAGATTTCCGTGGAAATTTCAGTTTTCCATCAAAACTATGCATTTATTTCCTTAAAATTGCAATTTAAATAGAACTACGAATGTAGAACAGAATAATAAAAGAAAAAAAATCAAAAGAATCAAGAAATATACCTTTATATACTTATACAAATATTAATGCACAAACGGTATACAAATATTTTTAAATCATACGTACAACTAAAATACTAACCAAGTCAAAGAAGGTCATAAAAGTTATAAAATACAATTTTAAAAACTGTTACGTTTGTAGGAAAATATTTAATACGACCTTATTATTACGTGAAATAAAGCTTAATTTTTACTTTTAACGGCCTTTTAACGTACTATCTTACCACAAATCTCGTTGATATTGATGAATTGAAAAAATTCTTTATAGATAAAAAAATTGTTAGCTTTCATAAAAGTAAATAATCTCTCTTTAGCAGTGTATTAATGAATTTTCTTATTAATTCAGTTACATCATCACTATCGTTAAAAACGTATGAATTTTAATTTCAATAAAGTAGATTTTATTTTTCAAATCCATCCAGTTATGCATCGATACTTTCCAAGAAGTGCAATAAACGAAACTCGTGATATGTGATCAATTTGTGTGATCATGCAATCTGTTTGAATGATAATCATAACATCAACGAATGCTAATATTATTCTGAATATTCAATCCTGATGGTACGTGAAAACTTAAAATATATGTGTAATTATATTACAAATGAGGAAGAGTACAAGAATTTTTTTTATCTCCATCAGGTTGGTCTAATAAATTTTCTAATAAGTAACGTCACTCCGGAGTAAAATGATCATTACACGATGGCATTAATAAATAGTTGTATCTTATGCCGTCGTTTTGCTGATTGCAGATTAATTATAATTGTGCTCTATCTTCCATAATTTTTTATTTATGTAAAAAAAGTTACTAAGAAACACGTAATGAAACTTTTTTGAAAATTTTTCTGATGGACCAAATACATTTTTACTTTTTACTCATTGGGTTAAAAGGAATATATTTATGGTATAGTACCTTATTTTTTTCAATCATATAACTGGATGCGATTTAAAAAACCTTTCAACAAGTGTATCATTTTGATCTGTTAATCATAATAAATTTTTCTCTAAAATACGTATGTTCTACTGACTTTACTTCAAGTATAGCTTTATTTTTATTCGCCATTCGTCTTCTCGATAATGCCAAGCAAGTGTTTTGTAATAGTTATTTACGTAACAAGTGCGGGAAATCATCCCGCACGAGTTGCGTACAAGTTTTTTCGCAATGTGTGAGGAAAATAGGTACAAAATAGGTTTGAATTTTGATTTCTAGAGAGGTTTGCGGCCCGAGCCGAAGGCGAGGGACGTAACGAGGTTCGTAAAGGAGACTTTTCGAACGAGTTCCGGAAAACTGCTTTTTCGCCCGAGGAAGTACCAGCCTCCCAAAACCACCTGAGGGTGGAAAAATTTATTCAATACTCAGCGATTGAAACTTTTTTTAAATTACGAATAAATTTTTTTTCAAATAATATAAATACTTTCTAATCAATCACTCTTTTTTCATAAAAATGTTAATCAGTTATGAGCATGAAAAACTTTGGCATCCCCATTGAACACTTTGAAATGTTACGTGTAATAGCTCGTAACGGTAATAGTAGAGAGAAGGATAACATGAAATTTGAGAACAGGGCATTTTTCTCGAGACTCAGCAAATTACTATCCGCTTTTTCTTCCGATTAAAAAAAACTTTGAGCTTTTACACAACTCCAAAAACTTATTTTCATCCCTTAGTTGGTTACTTATTATGAAACTTTGTATGACTTTACTATCTTTCATAATTTTTACAAGAAAAAATAAACTTTATAAAGTTTAGTATTAAGGCAAGTATAATTTTTATATATATTTGACGTAAAAAGTAATGGTGTCGATAATGAGCCAATTAGAAGTGATTGTGAGGTTTTTGACGAAAGGGGTTCTAGTTGAAAAAATTTTGTATGATTGGTTTGAGTTCCGTTGCGTTTGAATAATCAAGTAATTACAATAATTTGATGTTTACAATGATATGAGTGTGATCCTCGCCATAAGATAAATTTTCGTTGATTTTGCTGATCTTAATAAATTTTGTTAAAAATTATTTGTTTGATAAAATAAAGCACTCCCATAAAATTATAGACGAAAATGTTTCAGTGAAAAAATAAACAAAATAACTTTTCAAAGTTTCGTTTAACTTCAAAGTATCCGTTGACCATGCTTTTAGCGTTAAAAAACTGCCAATTGTGCACCGAGTTTCTGCTAATATTTTTAACAAAGTCTTATTACCTGCATTTTGAAAGTGCCATTCTGTTCGATTTACTTAATGAGAATTTTTGTGCGTCAGTTATATATTTATTTCAAACACGTAATGATTTATATGTTTTTTGAAAGGGCGTCAAAAAATAAATAAGAGCCCATGTATTGTAGAAATAACAGTTTTTAACAAGATTCCTCTGGAGTGGTTTTTTTGATGACCACAATTTAAATTGTAAGAGATAATATATTTCAACTTACTGAGCAATTTCTTAAAATTTCATTTAATTCTAATGACAATTATTTTAGGCGTGAATCTCATTTTTCATAAAGAATTTTTAAGAATTTTTTACCAAAATGTTCAAGTAACCAAAAACTCTCCGATATTAAGTATTATTTTTGAAGATGTTGAACCAACAATCAAAGAAAGTGAATTAATGATGGATAACAAGGGTTGGCACGGTGCAAGATACGAGAGGGGGAAGAATCGATTTATTTTCTTTTTTGTTCGCTTACGTTTCCTACCATCAATTGTGGGTTTACATTCTACCATTCATTGAAACTTATTGTTTAATTCGTTGTAAGGAAATAACTGTGCGCACGAATGAAAACTCGTGAACAAATTAGATTACAATAAATGTTAATTTCATTCCGTAATTTTGAGGTCTAATCTCTACTGTTCACAGTGAACTACTTTTTAGAAAAACTTGGAAAAGTTAGATTGTTATTCTATGTACCAAACACTTCGAATCATTTAAGTCGAAATATGAGCCTTGTAAAAAAAGTGTATCTATTTCATATCATTTATTGGGTTAATACATTGAGTGAGTTTTTATTATGTACTTTGTGTATTTTTTTTACAATATGGTATAGGTTTAGTCGGAGATCCATGACTGATAAATTACTGTCAGACAAATCAAACGTAATACACTCTAATAGGATTTCTACGTAAGTTTATAAAAATGCAAATGAGAGACCACGAGCTCTTAATGAAAATATTTTCATAATAAAAATTTAGTTTCAAGGCAGCGCTCATTTGCTATCCTTTAAAATATATATCGGATGAAAATTGATGTCTTGTTTTCGAGCTTGTTTTTAAGGCTTCATAAGCTTATATACACGTGCTTATTATCGAAATTTGTACTCTCATTGAATCAAATTATAGATAGCTGACGAAAACTCAGAGATTGCTCTTCAACACAAACGATACATCGCTATACTGTCTAATGAATTTTACATTGGTTTAGAAATTAAAATTTTTCTTGAAGCCAAAAATGCAATCTTGATGTACGATAAACACGAAACTCTATAAATAATACATTGTAGAATCCAAGTGTGTTCAAGTAAACGTTTAAAGCTTCTAATTGAAATTTCTGTTTTTATTACATGGATTACAGTAGTATTGATAAACGTTCCAAGAACAACCATACTGATGCTTTGTTAACTATTTTACTTACTTAATTAAACTAAATAATTTTTTTCTTCAGCAATTGATATAAGAAGGCTGTAGATAGTAAAAAATTTATTTGTGTCACAAATTTAACACGTTTACAAGTGTGTAAGATCTGTGACAGCCAAATTTTTTCACTCCACAGCTTTACCACACAGATTTTTTCCATTCAAAAGTGAAACTGGTTAACTACTTGGCCATAAATTTTGTTGTTCTTAAAATTCTTATTGACACAACTTCTATACATTTTATACAAAAACCAAAATTTCAACAACACATTTTAAATGTACACTTCAACACATTTGGATTTCGGACAGTGATAACCTTCTAAAATGTAGTACTCAGTATAACCGTGAAAGTAGTACTTAGTACTATAATCGTGAAAAAAACGCGTTTAGCACTTAGCAAAATATTAACAAATAGGGTTTAATGAGAATATAGGAGGACGTTTCTTAATCATGGAGCTTTTTCCATAAACAAATAAAATTTTCATGGCGATGGATCATTTATTGACATTAAGGGGGTTAGAGCAAAAAACAAATTTCTTACGAAAGTCTTCAAAAAATTAAAATGTGTTTGTTTTTATTATGTTAATAACAGATTAAAATTTCAGGAACCGTAGCGTCACAGTTTTTGAGAAAAAAAATAGCAAACTTATGATCTTATACACAGGCTCTTATGAGAACGTCGTCGCGACATTTACATTTTCAGCAATAACTGGAAAAACATTTTTACAAATCTTTCAAAAAACGAATATGTTATTGTAAATAACAATAAGAATAACACATCCAAATTTGAGGAAGCAAGCCGTCACGGTTTAAGAAGTACTTTAATTAAAAGTTTGAACGAAATGCTTTTGGTGTATCTATGTACAGCAGATGAGAAATGAAATATTGTTCATAAATTCAGTTTTGAAGTATTAATTTTTTATTTTCTCACTTATTAGTAATATTTTGCTGTACGATGAAATAGCTCGCAGAATTCATTAAGAATAATTATAAAATACATTGATATTTAATTTAAACTAACTTTTGAGGCTGCTGCACTGTTCTAACTTTCTTAAGTAAGTAGGCGTTGAAATAAGATACCAATAGATATGCATAACGTTTTAACATTATAATGGGAACATTTAATTAAGCAAAACTCTCGTTATCAGAAACCCATATGTTCATATCTATTGCAATAAAGTATTATCATAAAAAAATCGTTGCATGAAACAATCTTTTGTCCCCAGGCATCCCGATGTCGTCAAAAATCTGACAAATGAACTTTCCAAATTGAACGCAACAGCTATACCGCCCGGGAATCTGCCGTGGAATAGCAGAGGCGACCCTAGTCTTTGGGAACATACGTGGAATAACTTTGGGGATTATGAACTAGAGGAAATCAAATGAGCATTGCATGCAGTACTCCTTATTGTTTAATTTCATAATTAATAAGGTGAATTTTATTATAAAGGTGTTTTTTTCCAGCTGCACATATCGAGATTTGAATTCCGATGCTTCATCTACTTGTATGGAAAAACTATGAGTAATACAAGTGAGCTATCAACTGAAACTTTTGTATAAAATAAAAAAAATTTCCTTAGCCAACTGTCCTTTCATATAATTTCATACAAAATAAGTTTAAAGTAAAATTGTTTTAACTAAAATCGAAAAATAGATGGGTAAATTTAGTGTGTTATTCGATTTGTTAGGAAAAAGCTTCGTCGTACGTGAACGGAGTCATTTATTGAAAAACAAAGTATTTTCTTTCACATTGATTACCGACTAATAAAATGAATCAATACTCATTTCACACTCGACTTATAGTTCGAATCCGATAGTAGACAATGACTTGCTGCTTACAAAGTTGGAAAACAAATTTAATCGTTTCTGTGCCCATTTGTCTTTTGGTAAAACAAATTTACACTATTCGGTTTTAAACACATAATAAACGATGTTTGTACGGACGAAAAAAAAAAAAAACTGCTAACATAGTTTTTGAAAGATCAATAAATTTTGTTATTTACCTGGACAAGAATGCGTGTGAAAAACTAATTTGTAGGAAAGCTTGTCTCCAAGTATTAATAATGAGGTTCGAATCGAGAAATAATAGAATTTATCAGAATTTTGGGAAAGAAATGCTTTTTTCTCATGCAATGCTAAAATATTTAATATTATTCTGAAGACAAGAAAATTTGGGACTCTTCATTATTAACAGAGTTTGGCTGGAGGACGGAAGAAAATACGATACCTTATTGATATGAATCGACCTTACGCAGGGTAAGCCAAATAATTTAATGATTTTAGTTGAAGCGCATGCATACCAAAAATATATCATCAAGAAATGACCATTAGGATACGCACATGTACTTTTGCAAGTTCACACTTGCAAGCTGTTAATTAGTACACAACAACAACAACAACAACAACAACAACAACAACAACAATAGCAACAATAATAATAATAAATTCAATAAATATTTCCTCATTAGATGACATCAGGAATACTTCTGTTTCACTAGATTACACTACGAGATTCCTTAAATTTGTTTTTATAGAGGGTTGAAATTTTTACTTTAGTGCTAGTCCTTATTAGAGGTACTGAAATGTAGTTGGACTTGCTGTAAAGGTGAACGAAGTCATGTCAATAATATGATGACAACCAACTCGAGGCATTGGAATTGATTTTATAAACCAAGGATTTTTACGAGTTTATTTGGTGTTCTATTTCAATGATGTCTAGGAAAATTCGCAAAAACAAGATTCTTTGATATTTGATAAAGATCTCGTGAAATGGTTAAATAGAGCAAGGCAGTGGTTCGGAAAACAGGCGAATAACGGAATTTCCATTACTTTCGACTTTGACTTTTTCCGTATGTGTCAGACTATGAAAAATTTTTAAGCTTGACCGAAATTGCTAAAAATTCTTGAGCTAATGTTCTAATAATAATGTTCCCTTAATTCTATCAACGAGAAATTTAGTGCAAAGTATCGCTCAATTTCTTGGTTAGCAAAGGTTTTTTTTTTTTTTTTTTTGTTGAATAAAAGGCTTCAACGAACTGATAACAGCGAAGCTTCCCTGCAGGCTGTATGCAACGATGAAACACAGTTTCAATGACTCAAAAAACGTATCCAAAGCGTACTAGACCTAAGTTAGTTGATAAATTATGTTGCCAAGGATTTTTAGCCAATGAAATATGTAACCCAGACTTTTGATGTTTATTTAATTAATACTAACGAGTTTTGGCAATTTATTTTTGTAAATGCATTTTTTCCGAACTTGGATGAAAATTTACTTAGCTGTTGTGAAACTTGGAAAAACCGTAGAACAAAAAATTTTCGTAAATTCGACCGAATCAAAAAAATTCTTAAGTACTTGCTAAAGAAGAAAATTGCTAAAAACGACAAACTAGTAGAATCCAACTATCGGTAAGTATAGGTTAATCAAGTATAGGTTTACAGTACAATCAAGGAGTTTTTAAATCGAAATACTCACTTCTCAAAGTTGATGGTTCACATTTTTAAAGTAGATAAACATGTGAAAATTTTATGTTAAAGAATCTTGTAATGATAAAAAAATAAATTTTCAAATTATTAAGGTTTTGTTAGAAATCAAAAAAACTTTTTTTAGTTTACTCTAAAATAATAGAAACCTAATGTCATAATGAAATCATTGCACTTACGTGGATGACAAGAAAAAACCATATGAAACTTGTATCACTTTGAAATGATTTGGAAACTCGTTAACATCACCATTACACGACTATAATCCCTCGAATACCTTCTGATTGCAGGTAATCGAAGTAAATTAAACAAATCTACAACTCACGACTACAACTTTCCAACCTCGAGCCAACAGTGGTAATGGATTCACGATCCTTCCTATTCCCAATATGTACGCCAAAGGGCTTCGCGAAATACAATTTGCTCGACGATTATCCCACTCTCTTTCCCCTTTCTCGCGCCAACTTTAATAATTACCACGGCCAACCCTCAATAATACAGCTGCAGACGATTCGTACCACCACACGTGCAAGAATTGCGCTCGCAAACTAGATTAGCCGGAAAATTGACTTTACTCACCTGAAACGTCGATACTGCTCGCGATCGAATCTCATTACCAGCCCTCCAGCTTGTTTCCCTCAGTTGATTCTTCCAAGAGTGCAAAGCGTAATAATAGCAGCTGCTACGCGCCTTTGATAAGCCAAATCGGTAGTAAAAGAGAGAAGGTAAGAGATTGAAGAAAAAGAGGAACCTGTCCTTTGCAGAGCTTGCAAGGACCTCGTCAGTGGCCAAGTGTTGCGAAAACGACTAGGGCTCGGGCTTCCTCTGCCACCTTTGTGTAATTTTCCTGACCGGAGAGTGCTTCTCCAGCGGGCGGTGCATCGGGACGTTTTAAGAAATTTATCGGCTAACGAGGCTCTCGGCGCTTTTGCCGCCTCGTTATCCCCCCGAGAGCCCACTTACCGCCCCTTTTCTTCGCTCCGCGCTTTGTCGAGGATGTTTATTATGTTCCTGGACGCCTCCGTTTTGCCGAGTCTTTGATTTTTCCTTTGAGGCTGCTCGCTTACGCCTCGGACGCGACAATTTACTCCAAGATCACAAGGTGCTCGTGCGATTTAAAAGCATTCTTGTTGTTTGTTTCAACACTGTTTCGATGCACACACTGGTCATTGCACTGGTGTTTGAATTTACGATACCGCGGGTGATGAAAAGCACAACGTTGCTGGACTAAGTAACCCTAAGAGGATAGCGTGGGGCATTTTTTAATTGAACAACGAAAGACTCGTCCTTTCGAATGTCCAAGCACCAGAGATCGATATCGATTTGGTGGGACAAGGAGACCGGTCGCGTGGCGCATGGCTAATTGGCACTAGCTCGAAAGCTCGGGGGCTCCAGGAGAAGCGTACAGCACGAGGGTGGTTGATCCATCACAGCTTGCGACTCGCCGCAAACTGAGCGCTAAAAAGCCTCCGGAGCTTTTTCCTTTGGGCTCCTGTGCACGCGTGCCCACGCAGGAGGGACGCATGCGCTTCGCACGCACCCGGCGTATCCCTTCGATCATTCGGAGCGGGCACGTCGTTTGCCGCAAGGTATTATTCGCCGAGACAGGATGGATGATAGCAAGAGGCTGAGCGGTTTTCTTTTTTTTCCTTCTCACGCGACGATTTCACGAAGAGTAGGTGATTAAAAATGGACCGACACTGATTGATGGGATCTCGGCTTACGGGTCCCCCTCGCGTGGTGTATGCTTATTTTTCGTTTTTTTTTGTATTCATTTCCTTTTTCCATTTAAATTTTTTCTTCTTCTGTTGAATCCGCGAGCAGACGTTAAAAATGGTAGTTTTGTAAAAGTCTTCTACGTACTACGTTTACTTAAGATTATAGTTCGTACTTACTTAAAACTTAATGGTTTTTGATAACTTAGCTTGGAGATATTTTCGTATGGTACTTAAACAAGATATCATAGGTGTAGGTAAGGAAATGGATATTATTATCTACCATAGTATAGTACGTGGAATTTTTAGAACAATCCACAAATTCTATATTTGCTGCCAGATTAAGCTAAACAATTCACGCTAAGAAAAAACGGGGCCTAACGAAATTTATTTACAGCTGAAAAATGTTATACAGCAAACTAATACAATGTTAATTAAACAAAACTTCATGTTCACAGAAACTCTAGAAGCGACTACAAACTCTAAAAGCAAGACTTGATGTACATCTGTCTGACAAAGGTACTGTGATACCGAAACAGCTGTAAAACATTTTTAACGAATCAAGTGAAGATCAACATTATACATAATAAGTCTACTTTTTCATTTAATCTGATATGGATCTTCATCAAGTGACGACCGATAATATAGAAGATATGCACTAATTTTCATTGCAGGTTATTTTGTTATTGTTCAAACTTATACGTGTAGATAATGTACTTCCTAAACAAATCACACATTTTGAAGTATTTTATTATACAAATATTGCTGTAAGCAGAAAAAAAGAGAGAAAAAAAAAAAAAAAGAATTTCCGTTGAAAATTGACACATTTTTAAAAATATTTTATAATCAGATTTAAATAATTTTCAACGTGCACTTAAGACTTATATTTGAGCAATCGATTGCAAAAGTAGTCAGATTTGAGTTTTGATTCAGTCGATTTTATTTTTTTTTACTAGTACCCTCCGCATATTAAAAACTACTGGTTCGGGAATGCTTCGTTCATCTAGACTTGAGGTTCTGCCAAATCAGCACATATTTGCTACCCTGATATACAAGAAGGATTCAAGTCAGGTTATTTCAAAAATATTTCAGCCCATGAAATAATTGAATTTTGGGAACTGTTTTTTAAAAATAAAAAAAAATAAATTTTAACTAAACATATTTTTTATTTATTTTGTCATACAATTGCTAACATGAAACTAAGAATAAAAAATCTTATAACTAATTTTTTTTTTTTTCAACAAACATCAATCAGATATATTATTTTTTTTTTTTTCAATCTAAATACACGTATTTGCAAACTTTTTTGTTTGTCCTGTTCAAGCACTTGGAGAATTCATAACTTTAAAAAAATTACACATTTCCTTATAAAAGTCATTCTGGTTAATAATTTCACCGCTAGGTAATTCAACAATAAAATCCTCCAGTGGGTCGTCATACACCGTGCACAAAAAACTATCAAAAAATGCATCCAGCAGCGACCGTTTTTCTGGTTGTAGATGTTGATGCGTTGATTGGGGCTGCTGGTGCTGCTGTTGTCCTGGCTGCGGAAGAAGCTGCTGCTCTATTTCAAGTACATTGACTTGGCAACTATAGTTGGGGCCGTTTACATGATTTCCTTCGATACTGCTATGAAGAAAACGAAAAAAACAAAAAAACAAAAAAATTTACATCTTTGACAGAATTTTTCTTAAATAAGATAACGTCATGAAGCTTAGAGCCGGAACAAATTGTGTTAATTAGTTAGAAGATTGTAACTTAAGTGCTTTTTCCCTCAGAGAAATTCGTAAATTTAGTAAATAATAAAATTTTTTTTTACCTTGAGTAATGAGCAGCAACAGAAAAATGATGGTACACTTTGTCGGTCGAAATTAAAGGTACCGTGGCTTTTGAGCTTGTCAGGTACGGCATCTGCTTTGCAACTTCAAGTTGTTGAGGAGCTACATCACATGGACGCAAAAACGGTTGCTGCTGGGTTCCACAACCATAGAATTGCTTTTGTGGCATCCACGATTGTTGTCCCTGCTGATTTTAGGTGAAAATGGGCGGTTGTGCGGGGTACAGTTGTTGCTGACCAAACAATGGAGGCTGGACATGCAGGGATTCGTAGCTGATCTCAGATTCTACTAGATCCAGCATATTATGGGGTCTTCGTGCTTTTTTCACAATGTTTCCGCTATCAGGGCTGTCTCTATTTCCTTTCTTTACTTTCGATCGGCAATTTTGAAACCATATTATTACTTGATTTTCCGTAAGGCCCATCTCTTTCACCAATTGTACACGACCAGCAATGGACAAGTAATTATCCATGTCGAATACTCTTTCGAGCTCCACAATCTGCGCTGAGCTATACGACGTCCTCTTTCTTTTTTTATTCAATGAATCTGGACGGTATAAAGACACGTATTAAATTAGATGCATTTCAATATTTTCAAATATAATTATTTGGTAAATGAAATACTTACTTTCCTCCATCTGGTTTTGGGGCCTTAGCTTCTGAGCGGCATTGAATACTTCTTCATACTGCAATTCCATTTTTTCTGCAGAGGTAACTTTATTCTCTACTTCTCGTTAATTTCTCTAATGTAGCTTTAGCAAAGGCTTCGTCAAGAACTTTTGCACTATATTTGAACACACGACTATAGGATCTTGTGAAAGGTTTCAGTCTGAATCCAACTTACACACTGGACTTTTGCACCAAGATTAAGGCTTTATATCCCTTTCGCAGTACTTACTGACTGAGGAGCCTCACGCCCTTCTTTCTTATCAATGAGTCAAAAAGCTATTAGAAAGCTATTAAATAGGCCCTCCTAAATGTTAATGACTAATCTGTGCTGAGGCTTAAAGTTTTTCTTGGTACACATGCTGATTACTGTATGAGTAATGGTACAAATACATTAGCGTCAGACTGCATCGATTTGGTTTATAAGATTTCGATCGTATGCGTTACTTTCTTCCAAGATTCTAAAAATTTAAAGTTACCTACGAAACTAAAACAAAAATAAAATTAAAAAATGGCTAATGGGTCGAAACAAACAAATAGCGTTTCACGCAGAAAGAGCATAGTTTCATGTAATAAGACAAAATAAAAGGATTCATATTTTCAAAGAAAACTTAAATTTGATATGTCTGCTGCTAAATCCAATTTCAAGGATGAAATAGGATTTTTTTTTAATATTTGACTAGGGTAAGTGTACCTATCTCCGTGGCACGTACTGAAAATTCCAAATTAAATGCACCATAAAAAATGGTATACTAAAATTTTTTGGAATACTTTTTTTTTTAAATCTTACATAATCTCTTACGGAATATTAAAAAAAATTTTATGAAGCTAAAACTTCAGTAGAATATTTTTAAAACGAATAAAAACGGTATGCTGGTATAACCGTGGTTGTGTACCTATTACCGTGTACGTATTACCGCGGATAAGTATAAGGTTATGTTTACGTACGCTCACCGCGGAAATACGTACACAATCAGTTAATGAGCGCGTTGTACCGAATACCGTGGAAAATAATTATTTACTCAAAATATACACAAATATTTCTGTTTGAATTGCATCTACATTAACGTCATTTTAGATTATTAAAATTGAAAAATTATTTTATATGAAACATTTCTTATTTTGAGCAAGTAATCATCAGTTTTTCAAAATCCACGGTAATAGGGCAGAGCACGGAGATAGGTACACTTACCCCTATNTTAAAATTAGCAAAACAATTCCATTATTATCGATACTTTTTATGAAACAAATCTCCCCGATGTTAGTAAGTTAACCTGATTCGCATCTTCTATTGGAAACAAAGTCGCATAGCTGTGCAGTTAACTTTTTATTACTGTTAAGCTGTAAATAACATGTATATTTCAACATTATATAGTTGTTTGTGGGCCAATCCACACAAGCATCCACGTCTCCCTCCTCCCAAAAAAAAAAAATCATAATGCAAAATTAAATCTTCTTTTCCGTAATTTCGACTCATTACATTTTTTGTCAACACCCCACCACTCGCGCCTACCCCCACTTTTTTATGGATCCTCCCCCACCCTTACAGCCCCTACCAACCACCCACACTGCAATTGGAATTTTTTTTTATTGGCACGTAAGGGTTGGCGCTTAAACGAAGCGTGCAATGAAAGTTGCCTTTGTTACAACAAAAGTTGATTATTTAGAAAAAATGTGAAACATAATTAAAAAAACTCTAAAGAAATTATTAGCTTAATATTTTATTACACAGTCTTCAAAAAATTGGATGCTTTTCATAAAAATTTTTCTTCGTGTAACTTTGGTTCTAGCGTTGCAATTTTAATTCTTTCAAATAAAGAATACATTAATTTCTATGGATACTGACGATTACATACGTGCAAAATCCTAACTAAATTTTTAAATTTATAATTATGTGTATATGCTATGATGACGAACTTGTAAATACGTTAGTTTCAATTGCTCCTACCACCTATACAATTGTTCAAATACTGATGGGTATATCTTGTAATACAAAAATTATGTTTTTTTTATCTTTAAGCGTTTTTAAAGACACTTGGAAGTTTAGTGAGCCCTTGGTAGAAAAAAAGTGTTCGCTACATAAGCAACATTAATCCAAAGCTACCTTTCCGTCCGAATTTTTTCTGCCCTTCCGACACAGTGGCGATGGCGCTTTTGCGACGCAACTCCTATTACTTTCTGTAAGTGTTAATCACAGCAAGTATTGTTTTTGGAAGAAGAAATTTTGAGTTCCCCTTTATGAACAAATTAATTTTGGTGTTCTTTGGAAAAGTTTGACTTTGGCCTTTTTTGCTCTTTTGAAAGTAGAAAATTAATAATTCAACTCTTTTCGAAAATAAATTTCTGTTCTCTCTTGCTACAAAAATTTATCTAAAAACAGCATCATAAAAAATATAAAGAAAAATTACTTTATTCCGAAGGATGATTCTTTAAAATGACCTTTCATGTTGAAAAGAAAACAGAGCTTCAAAATATACTTGAAAAAAAGAGATAATTTAGAAAAAGTTAACACGTAGTGCAAAGTTTCTAATTACTGTGACTTTACAAAATATATATAAATTTAAAAATTCGAAACATTAAAACCTCATTAATTGCATATTAATAATACGGTCATTCTCGGATTTCTCAAAATCCAGAGCCGTTAGAAACGTGAAGTGGATCGGTTCCTGATTATTAATACCTAATGAGGGGACTGAAAGCGATACATACAACTTGTTTGTGATAACAATAAATTTTTTTTCTAAATTTCTTCTCTCTTTTGGGACTCTTTGACGTTTTCTCATTCACTACGCATAGTGACGTATGTTTTATAAAGCTTCGAGAGCGTCAACGATCAAAACCACGTTTTGGATTTATGTGTCAAACGCCGCGTTGAAATAAGAATGAAAGAATTCATAATTATTTGTGATGCGATCTTCTTGCAGTGTATAAGTTTTAGAATAAACGAAAAACAAATTTTCGAAAATTTGCTGACAGATTGGCACAAGTGATCAGCTGATTTTTTTTAGCAGTGTAAGCACTTTCACTTTCCACAGCAGGCTGCGAATCTTGCATGCTGCGGCTTTTCAGTCATTTGGTTGTTTTTGAGCGTTTTTTCAATAGTCAGATTTCAATAGTGTTTTTATACTGGATGATTTTTTTATTAATAACATTAGTTAAATTATTTTTTAACTAGTCAACACTTTTGATTAAGAAAACTTTCATACTGTTAACGGCTACGTCAAACTTCTTTTTTTTTTTAACATATAAAATATCAACTAGTTTTTTTTATTATGTTTTCACAGTTATAATTTGTTTCGTATCGCATACATTTCAATCAATTTCCACATATTCTTGTAATACTCTCATCGTTGTGACATTATCTGTGAGCGGATGGAGCAGGGCACGTAGCCCCCTGTATTGAATGTACAACGAGATCAAAGTTCTAAAACAATATTTTTTGTGATTTTATTTGGCAATAAGATGTTCGTCAACTAGTCCATGTTACCCACAAAAATATAATCCACTACATTAAAAATTACGGAACCAGGCTAAATACTGTTATTTTTCTGTAATGTATGNAAATTACACATTTCCTTATAAAAGTCATTCTGGTTAATAATTTCACCGCTAGGTAATTCAACAATAAAATCCTCCAGTGGGTCGTCATACACCGTGCACGAAAAACTATCAAAAAATGCATCCAGCAGCGATCGTTTTTCTGGTTGTAGATGTTGATGCGTTGATTGGGGCTGCTGGTGCTGCTGTTGTCCTGGCTGCGGGAGAAGCTGCTGCTCTAGTTCAAGTACATTGACTTGGCAACTATAGTTGGGGCCGTTTACATGATTTCCTTCGATACTGCTATGAAGAAAACGAAAAAAACAAAAAAACAAAAAAATTTACATCTTTGAAAGAATTTTTCTTAAATAAGATAACGTCATGAAGCTTAGAGCCGGAACAAATTGTGTTAATTAGTTAGAAGATTGTAACTTAAGTGCTTTTTCCCTCAGAGAAATTCGTAAATTAAGTAAATAATAAAATTTTTTTTTACCTGGAGTAATGAGCAGCAACAGAAAAATGATGGTACACTTTGTCGGTCGAAGTTAAAGGTACCGTGGCTTTTGAGCTTGTCAGGTACGGCATCTGCTTTGCAACTTCAAGTTGTTGAGCAGCTACATCACATGGACGCAAAAACGGTTGCTGCTGGATTCCACAACCATAGAATTGCTTTTGTGGCATCCACGATTGTTGTCCCTGCTGATTTAAGGTGGAAATGGGCGGTTGTGCGGGGTACAGTTGTTGCTGACCAAACAATGGTGGCTAGACATGCAGGGATTCGTAGCTGATCACAGATTCTACTAGATCCAGCATATTATGGGGTCTTCGTTCTTTTTTTACGATGTTTCCGCTATCAGGGCTGTCTCTATTTTCTTTCTTTACTTTCGATCGGCGATTTTGAAACGATATTGTTACTTGATTTTCCGTAAGGCCCATCTCTTTCGCCAATTGTACTCGACCGGCAATGGACAAGTAATTATCCATGTCGAATACTCTTTCGAGCTCCACAATCTGCGCTGAGCTATACGACGTCCTCTTTCTTTTTTCATTCAATGGATCTGGACGGTATAAAGACACGTATTAAATTAGATGCATTTCAATATTTTTAATTATAATTATTTGGTAAATAAAATACTTACTTTCCTCTATCTGGTTTTGGGGCCTTAGCTTCTGAGCGGCATTGAATACTTCTTTATACTGCAATTCCATTCTTTCTGCAGAGGTAACTTTATTCTCTACTTTTCGTTAATTTCTCTAATGTAGCTTTAGCAAAGGCTTCGTCGAGAACTTTTGCACTATATTCGAACACACGATTATAGGATCTTGTGAAAGGTTTCAGTCTGAATTCAACTTACACACTGGACTTTTGCACCAAGGTTAAGGCTTTATATCCCTTTTACGGTACTTACTGACTGAGGAGCCTCACGCCCTTTTTTCTCATCAATGAGTTAAAGAGCTATTAGAAAGCTATAAATAGGCCCTCCTTAATGTTAATGACTAATTCGTGCTGAGGCTTAAAGTTTTTCTTGGTACACATGCTGATTACTGTATGAGTAATGGTACAAATACATTAGCGTCAGACTGCATCGATTTGGTTTATAAGATTTCGATCGTATGCGTTACTTTCTTCCAAGATTCTAAAAATTTAAAGTTACCTACGAAACTAAAGCAAAAATAAAATTAAAAAATGGCTAATGGGTCGAAACAAACAAATAGCGTTTCACGCAGAAAGAGTATAGTTTCATGTAATAAGACAAAATAAAAGGATTCATATTTTCAAAGAAAACTCAAATTTGATATGTCTGCTGCTAAATTCAATTTCACGGATGAAATAGGAATTTTTTTTTTAAATTTGACTAGCACGTACCGTTGTACTTGTTGATATGACAGTACTCAAAAAATATAACGATTCGTGGTGATGTAAAATTTGTAATATATGATCGTTTTGTTCCAATATTCAGCAGAAATCAAAGCAGGCTTCTCAGCCAATTTCTCACATTCTTCATTTCATCTTTCGATTGACATTTACACCAAAACGTGCTCTTAAATAGCTAAATTTTTCTTTTTTATGTTACTACGTTAATGTCATTACATTTACTTTAAAATTAGCAAAACAATTCCATTATTATCGATACTTTTTATGAATCAAATCTCCCCGATGTTAGTAAGTTAACCTGATTCGCATCTTCTATTGGAAACAAAGTCGCATAGCTGTGCAGTTAACTTTTTATTACTGTTAAGCTGTAAATAACATGTATATTTCAACATTATATAGTTGTTTGTGGGCCAATCCACACAAGCATCCACGTCTCCCTCCTCCCAAAAAAAAAAAATTATAATGCAAAATTAAATCTTCTTTTCCGTAATTTCGACTCATTACATTTTTTGTCAACACCCCACCACTCGCGCCTACCCCCACTTTTTTATGGATCCTCCCCCACCCTTACAGCCCCTACCAATCACCCACACTGCAATTGGAATTTTTTTTTATTGGCACGTAAGGGTTGGCGCTTAAACGAAGCGTGCAATGAAAGTTGCCTTTGTTACAACAAAAGTTGATTATTTAGAAAAAATGTGAAACATAATTAAAAAAACTCTAAAGAAATTATTAGCTTAATATTTTATTACACAGTCTTCAAAAAATTGGATGCTTTTCATAAAAATTTTTCTTCGTGTAACTTTGGTTCTAGCGTTGCAATTTTAATTCTTTCAAATAAAGAATACATTAATTTCTATGGATACTGACGATTACATACGTGCAAAATCCTAACTAAATTTTTAAATTTATAATTATGTGTATATGCTATGATGACGAACTTGTAAATACGTTAGTTTCAATTGCTCCTACCACCTATACAATTGTTCAAATACTGATGGGTATATCTTGTAATACAAAAATTATGTTTTTTTTATCTTTAAGCGTTTTTAAAGACACTTGGAAGTTTAGTGAGCCCTTGGTAGAAAAAAAGTGTTCGCTACATAAGCAACATTAATCCAAAGCTACCTTTCCGTCCGAATTTTTTCTGCCCTTCCGACACAGTGGCGATGGCGCTTTTGCGACGCAACTCCTATTACTTTCTGTAAGTGTTAATCACAGCAAGTATTGTTTTTGGAAGAAGAAATTTTGAGTTCCCCCTTATGAACAAATTAGCGATACATACAACTTGTTTGTGATAACAATAAATTTTTTTTCTAAATTTCTTCTCTCTTTTGGGACTCATCTTCGTTTTCTTATTTACTACGCATAGTGACGTATATTTTATATAGCTTCTTTAAAATGATTGGTAGGAGCTGAAAGGGTGGGGGAGGATCCATAAAAATGTGGTGGTAGGCGCGATGGTGGGGTGTAGACAAAAATTGTAATGGGTCGATATTACGGAAAAGAAGATTTAATTATGCATTGTGATTTTTTTTTTTGGAAGGATGGAGATGTGGATGCTTGTGTGGATTACCCACACAAACAACTGTATAATGTTGATATATATGTGTTATTTACAGCTTATCAGTAATAAAAAGTTAACTGCACTGCTATGCGACTTTGTTTCCAATAGAAGACACGAATCAGGTTAACTTACTCACATCGGGAAGATTTGTTTTATAAAAAGTATCGATAATAATGGCATTGTTTTGCTAGTTTTAAAGTTAACGTAATGACATTACCGTTGTAACATAATAAAGCAAAATTTAGCTAAGAGCATGTTTTGGTGTAAATGTCAATCGAAAGATGAAAAATGTGTGAAATTGGCTGAGCAGCCTGCTCTAATTTCTGCTGATTATTGGAACAAAACGTTTATTTATTACAAATTTTTACATTACCACTAATCGTTATATTTTTGAAGTACTGTCATATCAAAAAGTACAACCGTACGTGCTAGTCAAATTTAAAAAAAAAATCCTATTTCATTCTTAAAATTGGATTCAGCAGCAGACATATCAAGTTTGAATTTTCTTTGAAAAGATGAATCCTTTTATTTTGTCTTATTACATGAAACTATACTCTTTTTGCGTGAAACGCTATTTGTTACTTTCGACTCATTGGCCATTTTTTAAATTTATTTTTGTTGTAGTTTTGTAGGTAACTTTAAATTTTGAGATACTTGAAAGATAGTTACGCATACGATCAAAATCTTATGAACCAAATTGATGCAGTCTGACGCTAACGGATTTGTACCATTACTCATACAGTAATCAGCATGCGTACCAAGAAAAACTTTAAGCCTCAGCACGGTTAGTCATTAACATTTGGGAGGGCCTATTTAATAGCTTTCTAATAGCTTTTTAACTTATTGATAAGAAAGAAGGGCGTGAGGCTCCTCAGTCAGTAAGTACCGCAAGAGGGATATAAAGCCTTAACCTTGGTGCAAAAGTCCAGTGTGTAAGTTGGATTCAGACTGAAACCTTTCACAAGATCCTATAATCGTGTGTTCGAATATAGTGCAAAAGTTCTCGACGAAGTTTTTGCTAAAGCTACATTAGAGAAATTTACGAGAAGTAGAGAATAAAGTTACCTCTGCAGAAAAAATGGAATTGCAGTATGAAGAAGTATTCAATGCCGCTCAGGAGCTAACTCCTCAAAACCAGATGGAGAAAAGTTAGTATTTCATTTATTGAATAATTATATTTAAAAATATTAAATTGCATCTAATTTAATACGTGTCTTCATACCGTCCAGATTTATTGAATAAAAAAAGAAAGAGGACGTCGTATAGCTCAGCGCAGATTGTGGAGCTCAAAAGAGTATTTGACATGGATAATTACTTGTCCATTGCTGGTCGAGTACAATTGGCGAAAGAGATGGGCCTCACGGAAAATAAAGTGACAATATGGTTCCAAAATCACCGATCGTAAGTGAAGAAAGAAAATAGAGACAGCCCTTGATAGCGGAAACATTGTGAAAAAAGCACGAAGACCCCATAATATGTTGGATCCAGTAGGATCTGTGAGCAGCTATGAATCTCTTCATGTCCAGCCTCCATTGTTTGGTCAGCAACAACTGTACCCCGTACAACAACAGCCCATTTCCACCCCGAATCAGCAGGGAAAACAATCGTGGATGCCACAAAAGCAATTCTATGGTTGTGGAACCTAGCAGCAACCGTTTTTGTGTCCATGTGATTTAGCTGCGCAACAACTTGAAGCTGCAAAGCAGATGCCGTACCTGACAAGCTCAAAAGCCACGGTACCTTTAACTTCGACTGACAAAGTGTACCATCATTTTTCTGTATCTGCTCATTACTCTAGGGACAACAATCGTGGATGCCACAAAAGCAATTCTATGGTTGTGGAACCCAGCAGCAACCGTTTTTGCGTCCATGTAATTTAGCTGCGCAACAACTTGAAGTTGCAAAGCAGATGCCGTACCTGACAAGCTCAAAAGCCACGGTACCTTTAACTTCGACCGACAAAGTGTACCATCATTTTTCTGTTGCTGCTCATTACTCCAGGTAAAAAAAAATTTTATTATTTACTTAATTTACGAATTTCTCTGAGGGAAAAAGCACTTAAGTTACAATCTTCTAACTAATTAACACAATTTGTTCCGGCTCTAAGCTTCATGACGTTATCTTATTTAAGAAAAATTCTTTCAAAGATGTAAATTTTTTTGTTTTTTTGTTTTTTTCGTTTTCTTCATAGCAGTATCGAAGGAAATCATGTAAACGGCCCCAACTATAGTTGCCAAGTCAATGTACTTGAACTAGAGCAGCAGCTTCTCCCGCAGCCAGGACAACAGCAGCACCAGCAGCCCCAATCAACGCATCAACATCTACAACCAGAAAAACGATCGCTGCTGGATGCATTTTTTGATAGTTTTTCGTGCACGGTGTATGACGACCCACTGGAGGATTTTATTGTTGAATTACCTAGCGGTGAAATTATTAACCAGAATGACTTTTATAAGGAAATGTGTAATTTTTTTAAAGTTATGAATTCTCCAAGTGCTTGAACAGGACAAACAAAAAAGTTTGCAAATACGTGTATTTAGATTGAAAAAAAAAAAAATAATATATCTGATTGATGTTTGTTGAAAAAAAAAAAAATTAGTTATAAGATTTTTTATTCTTAGTTTCATGTTAGCAATTGTATGACAAAATAAATAAAAAATATGTTTAGTTAAAATTTATTTTTTTTTATTTTTAAAAAACAGTTCCCAAAATTCAATTATTTCATGGGCTCCGTAAAGAAAGTACGAAATATTTTCGAAATAACCTGATTTAAATCCGTCTTGTATATCAGGGTAGCAAATATGTGCTGATTTGGCAGAACCTTAAGTCTAGATGAACGAAGCATTCCCGAACCAGTAGTTTTTAATATGCGGAGGGTACTAGTAAAAAAAAAAAAAATCGACTGAATCAAAACTCAAACATGACTACTTTTGCAATCGATTTTTTAAATATAAGTCTTAAGTGCAAGTTGGAAATTATTTAAATTTGATTATATTAGATGAAAATACATCGTCAATTTTTAACAGATACGCCTTCTTCTCTTCATTCTTTCTCTTTTTCTTCTTCTCCTTCTGCTTAAAGCAGTATTCGTGTGATAAAATTTTTTAAATTATTTTCATAAAGTACAAAAATACTTTTAGATCAACACGTTTAATATGGTTTTTGTCAAGCTTGCATATCTGATTAGATCAGATTAACGGTGTGCCTTCTGTATGTTGGTAGGGGCGATGGGACTAGTAAAGCTTACGTGGAGAATTTCATGATTCAAAAATTGGGGGTATGAGGGTAATAATCCATATATATTGTTCATATTGTGATTTTATATATCATACTGTTTTCTTTCGTTAAGATTAGGTAACTGGTCGAATATAATATTGTTAGAAAGAAAATAAATTTATGTATTCACTCTGTTGCATATACGCCAATAATTAGATTTTTGATACCCAAATCTCATTAAAAATTCATGTAATTACTGACACTAAAACAAATGCATCACTTTGGCAGTTATATTGGTGAATAGATGTATTGTAAATGAGATTTTGGTATTAAAGTTCAAATTTTTTCCGTTCGCGCACGGGGCGAATAAAATAATTTCTTATAGGTACAAAGAGAATATATTTACAGTTTTTCGAAACTTAAGCCATTACTAAGTTATTTCGCTACTTGCACCCTATGTGCAAATAAAAATTTTTATTTTTTCACGATGCATATACCACCTTAAGTCAAAAAGTAGAAATCTTGCTCGCCAATTCGATCTGAGGAATTCATCATATATTAAAATTCTACGTAGGGAGCACCCACCACGCACACCAGATCTTTTACTGCTCCTGTAGATTGGTATTGATCAGAGGAAAAACAACACAAATGGCAAAGAGGAAAAATTCTATCTTAAGAAAGCTTAGAAAACAGTCTTGGTTACTTTATAAATTTTTAAAATAATACAGAAGAATTTAAGCTCACTGAATAACGAAAACACAGCTCGCGGATACTTCCGCTGTCGTCAGTTGATGTCAGAAAGTATATGCGTAAAAGTAGAAATAGTCGAGCACTTTGAAATTATATTGTTAATAAAAACTGTCAGTCATATAACTTTTTCTTAGTTATTTACTTTTTTACGACATCTTTTGGTGTGGATTATACTTGTGTAATTATTTTGTTGAGATGAATTAAGAAATTCCCGAACTCTAGGCTGTATGAAGACAGTACGAAGTTTTTTCTACAGTATACAGTCCTACTAGTGCAAAAGTTCTCGACGAAGTTTTTGCTAAAGCTACATTAGAGAAATTTACGAGAAGTAGAGAATAAAGTTACCTCTGCAGAAAAAATGGAATTGCAGTATNAATATTTTATAAATTATATTTAATTTTTAGTTTATAGTTATTAAAAAAATACTTTTTGCAGTGCGTACTAAAGTTCTAGAAGTCATGGTTGTTTTGAAATAGAAAAATGGAAACAATTCTGATAAAGTTATCATCAAAATTTTGACAAGATTTAAAGGTAGTACAAGAGAACGATCAGACTTTTTGCCTTTTTTAGGTTAGATAGCATTGCGCTTTTATGCCCTATCTGCGACGTTAGCATTAAAAGATCGATGATAAATTTCTAACGATCTAACGGTAAATTTCATTGAAGTGTTCAAATAGTAAATATTGTTTTGAAGATTTTCCGTAAGAACTCATGGAAAGTTGATTACATATTTTTTTTTTTTTTTCGCATTAGAGGAACCCCAAAATCTTGAAGCTTACCATTAATATTCTTATATATTTTAAGACTTATAAATATACGAATTTTTGTTGGAAACTGACTGTTTATTCCATAAGTCAGTCAACTGCCAATTTAAAGTTGATACGTGTATAAGATATGTGTGGAAAAATCACATTGACTGTATGGTTGTTGGCAAAAATCATAATTTACTACATGGAAAGAAAGTAAAATGGTAAAAGGCAAAAAGTCCGCCCCTTCTCGTTTATCCCTCACTTGGGGTAGCCGACCAAGGGGGTTACAGCGATAAAAAAAGATTCGACAGATGTTAACATGAATAAGGCTAGCTAGCTGTATAGCTTTCAAAAAATTAAATTATGGAACTAAATGTTTGTTCTTAACAACAATTTCAAAAATTTTCATAGCAACTGTTAAAAAAGCTACTATGTTGCGGGAAATAATAAATAACATGACGTAACAATTATTGGATGGACCTATTTTCTCTATTGAATATATTCGTCATGAAACGCATGGGAGAAGTTTAAGTTCCAGTTCTTGCCGCATGATGCTTTTTTACATCGTAGAATGGTGCTGGATTTTCGTGATTTTCCTTTGAACACGTAAATGGTAGAGGTTTTAGTTTCAACTTATCCACTTTATTTACTTTTGTAAAGACTCTTTGGTGCTAGTAGTCGCGTCTCATGACGAATAGTGTGATTTATAGTTTTAATTCAATACTTACAGTATAGCAATATCGTGCTAAATGAAAATTTATAGTTTTTCTTGTGAGTCTTGATTACAGCTAGTTTTCATTACAATTTCAATTATTACATTGTTCTTTGTAGAATCCATTGATATTAAAAAGGCTTAGATAAAGCACTTATTGCCATAGTATTAGAGAAAGAACTTTTTCTTTTTGGCCATTCATATGCACAATTTTTTTAAAGATTGGAATAAAGTTTATAATTACTTTTTTGAACTACAAATTGTTTTTAACATGTTTATTACTATTTGCAAAAAGGTATGTGTCTATATGTCCAGCCACATTTAGTGTGTCTAGATGTTAGAGCTTCTGCGTACTAAAAAGTAAACAATGTGTAAAATTTATTTTCTTACCTGCGGCTGCGTACTGTTGAATCACGAAAACGTGATTAACCGTTTTACGGCCACAGAGGTACGAGAAATAGTACACGCACCACGTTCGGATGTTAAAAAATGTCCTAGATTTTTTGTGAAATCTGCAACATCCTTAACCTCCGTCACTAGGTGCGTAATATACTATTATATATTTTATAGTCTTTTGAAATATATTTCACTAAAACGGAGAATGACGCTAGTTTTATTTTTTTACTTTTTCAAATAGCCGTGAAACTGGTTGCCGTATAGATACTATATTGTCATACCATTCTTTTTCAGACTTGAACATATCCTGTGAGAGGGAAGGATAAAGATTTATTATTCCCCCTTACCCTCACCTAAAATCCATATTCAAATGTTGTCTTTGAGAGAAAAAGAAACGGGCGACTATCTGTTTGTCTCTCTTTGGCTATCACCCACCTTCTATTTCCTCACCCTAACTTAGTCATCAAAATTGTGAAAAATGAGATAGAAGACCACCGTTATTCTGTACAACATATTAAAATTATAATTAAAGCAGAATTAGTGTGTTTTGTTGCAACACGTTAAAAGAAATTTTTTTTAAGAGAAAATTTTTTTTTGTTCTTAATTTAAGCCGTAAGCTTCTACCTAAAACACATCAAAAGAGTAGTTATATGAATCTTCATGTAGTATTGTAAATTAATTATATAACTGCACGATATTTTATATACTTTTTGACGATTGCAATCATTTTTGGACATCTCTTGGGTTAACGTAATACTTCCATAATCTTATCACGATAAAAATAGTTATATTATAGGCAAAGTTTATTGAAATAGAATTTTTAAGTAACGCAACTGATTTTCATACGTTATTAATGTTAACAAGACAGAAATTTTTACATGGTTGATAGCTCACTTGCCATTTTTAGACATTTACTAATGCATTTCTTGATAAATAATTAGTATATTAAAAACTACTGACATTAAGGACGTTCGGTAGAGATAGCGGCGCGAAACCACTTGCGGGGCAAGAGGGAAGTAGCGATGAGTGAAGACTTGGCTTCGACGCACGGGTCTCTAATGTGTGAGTGTTCACGTACACACATATATACTCACATCAGGTGCAGTGTCTGCCTCACTGTCTGCTGCATCGGTTACGGTAGCGTATGTGTGTATTTGTAATGTATTTGTGCTAAAGATGTAAGAATTTGATTTTTATTCGTTGTAACAATCTAATAAAAATGAGTAAATAAATAAAAAGACGTTTGACAGATATATTTATATACAATTATAGTTGTAGCTAATGTAAATAAAATTTTTGAATTTTTATGTGACTTGAAAAATCTCATTGAAAGTGATATGTTTAATAATTAGGACATACTCTAGTCTCTGTGATTACTACAAGCATGTGATTTTGTTATCTTATGTAAAAAAATTGTATTGTATGAAAATGACAAATTAAAAATTTTACTAAGAAAAATAAATGTGTTATNAATACATTGTTTTGTTATGGGTACGGGTGGAACCTATGTACATACACTCACACACATATACAAGCTTATTTTTTATACAGAAATACATAAATATCTACCATAATATTCAAATATTTACTGATTTACGTCCTGAGGCATTTTGAATTTCCCGCTTCTTGCGACGTTGCCGTTGTGTTTTTTTCGAACTATTATTTAATTTTTTTATTCATAAACTAATCAGACAATCGTCGTAAAACTTTGTTTACATATAGTTAATAACATTATCTGTGACATATGAAAAAATTGGAGACATTTATGACGCCAATTTTTTAAAACTGAGTTTTTATACGTTTCCCCGTAAGCGACCGTGATAAAATGACTAAACTTTGAAATTCAATATCTCGGAAACGAAACAGACGAACCTCTTGAAAGTTTAACAGCTTCATTGTGTTAACAATAAGAACGTCTGGTTAAAATTTCAAAAAGATTTATCACAGGGTTCTATCTCTACCGAACGTCCTTAAATAAAAACTGTTGGAAAATGCATAACAATAGAAACGTTGACTAAGATTATCGATGTGTTTTCGGATTTATTGTAAATTTTTTTTTTAAAGAGCTTCCTCCCAGTCGCATTTGTGGATTTCCGTAAAATTTAATATGACAGCAACAATTGGCAGGAAATCTGAACGGTTCTTGCTTGAGATGACCAGTAGAAGAAACAGATACTAACATTTTGTAGACATATTTTTGCTTGCAGAAGGTTTTATAGCCCTCTGGAGTCGCATTAATTACACTGCATTCGTTATCTTCATTTCTGGAAAAGAATATGATTATTAGAAAATAAGGCTTCAGTTAAAAGTTACAAATACAGTATTTACATCTATAAAAAAATACACCAATAGTTTTCGTGGCATTCATACTTATAGATTATTCTCATGTACAGTTGTAAGGATTCTTTTTAGTGGTAATAAACTTGTTAGTTATATCATTTTATTGAATTCATAAAAATTTGAAAATATTATGGCTAAAATGGTTAATGAAACTGTATGGAAAATACTATGTTTTTGTTAGTCCAACACAGAAACTTGCAATAATATCTATACCTTGTGTTTTAATGGAACGGGAATCAAGTAATTGCCACGATTCAGATTAATAAAAATGATCACAAAGTGAATTCGTTTATATAGTACTAGGATAGGTAGCGTACCTTACTGTCTTTCTACCACCCTACAGGATCACTCATAAAATAAGAAAAAATTTATCTGGTTTCTCATACTTAAACATTTCTTACAACACCATAAGAACTTCCACAACTTATCAACAACCTTCCATGGATTTTTGAGTGTTTTTTGAGGTTGGTTTGGCGGCCTCGGAGAGGGGGGGGGGGGTACAATGCACCTCGCAAACAACTAAATAGTATAAAATTTTAATCTATATTTTTAATCACTGAATAAATTTCTATCTTTTGACAATGTTATTTAACACTTTGTTTCCAATAAGGGTAAAAAAAGTGGGGTAACGTAATGGAAAAAGTTAAGGTTAATAAAAATGCAATCATTTGCGAAACCATATCGAAAATAATACATTTAAATAAGTGTGTGCATAAGTAATTTTTGTAAATAAGAAAGTTTATCAAATTTGATCTTTTATTGAATTAAATTTCAAAATGTCAGTGCGTAATGCATTAATTACGCAAAATCCTATCTATTGAACGTTCTATAACTAGACATTTTTTCGGGAGTAGAACTGACGTAATGCCAGCCCAGGTCATTGACAATAGTTATTTACGTAACAAGTGCGGAAAAGACGATTTCCCGCACGAGTCTATCACACGAGTGCAGGAAATCGTCCCGCACGAGTTGCGTACAAATTTTTTCGCAATAAGTGTGAGGAAAATAGGTGTTTCCCGCACTAATATTAGTGTGGAAAATCGATTTTCCATAAAAAAGTGCGGAAAATACCCATTTTCCGCACACTATTGCGAAATAGTAGTTTTCCTACGAGTTTGAAAAGTCTCTGTTTGCGAACCAAGAGGTTTGCGGCCCGATCCGAAGGCGAGGGTCGTAACGAGGTTCGTAAAGGAGACTTTTCGAACGAGTTCCGGAAAACTGCTTTTTCGCCCGAGGAAGTACCAGCCTCCCAAAACCACCCGAGGGCGGAAATAGTAGTTTTCCTACGAGTTTGAAAAGTCT